GTTACACGAAATGTGTTGCGAGTATCATGAATTTGCCCAAATGAAGAAAGCAATGTTTATTTTCTTTCTGCAAATCTTTTCTTTCTGCTAGTCGCTCGAAAATTGAAACGAAAGTAGTTAGAATCTTAGGCTCGCTTCAGCAGTATTAATCAGAAGCTTATCGATTATCCCACTTATTTATCTTCTAAATCAAGTCCATAATTCTTATCCGAAACAAAGAATCTTCTATTTCAACAAAAATCACTCCACTAGTTAAAAGTTGCACTTAATCGCAGGTTCCGTAGAATTCAATATATTTGAGGTAAAATGCGCAGAAAACATTGAGGTTTTTCAAAGAAAAAAATTGAGGATCATTTTTCGGAAAAATAACAACAAAAAAGCCGGTCATGTTCATTTCGTAAGCGCATTTTCCACTTCAAGCTCCATATGCTTTCACTTGATACAAGAAAAATTACAATAAAAAAATACAACTTGAAAAATGAAAAGATGAAAAATCTACAAAAAGTCTTCGTTGTTCAATTTATGAGTAATTAGCTTCGAGAAAAGGAGTGTGAACCGGCCAGTTGAAACTTGCTTCACAAAGTATAAAACCAGCCAAAACTTACGGCATTTGAATGCGACTCGAAACCGCTACATACTTGTTCATAATTATTATGTACAGAATACGATACGTCTGCTAGGTCATATGGTAGCTCATTTATGCTTCGGCTGGTTTATATTCCAGCAAAAACAACACTGTACCTTTTTTTATCTCATATGTATTGGTTTTGTGAACAACGATACTGTTTGTTCATTTAAAAACGTTGCTATCTGCGCATTTAAAACTCATACCATCTGCAGATTCAAATAGCTACAAGCAAAAGCGTATCCAGAAACCAACAAAATGCGAGTAATTCAAACACTAGGCAGCAACACTGATTCCTTCATGTTTAAGGTCAGTTTCTTCTACGGGAAAAACTGTCCACTTGATCTTCTGTATGACCCCACCGCACCCGATTCGGACACTCCGGCCGAAGTTCGCTACGACTATGCGGTCTATCTCTCTCCTGCAACTACACTAAACACTTCGGGAGTGAAACAGCGTACAGTAAGCGAGAAATTGCTCTGGTACTTTATCAAGGGCCAAACTGTTAAGTTGCCTCCGAATAAGGACCAAAAAAGTGCGATTCACGATTTGACCGAGGACATGTTTCTCTCTGGATCAATGGAGCCTCTAGTTCGAGATCCAAATCTTCCTGATTATGTCATTGGGCCTTTAAACACTGGCGAAATGATTGCACTTCTAGAGGAAGAGCAAAAAATTCAACCATACTCGCTAATGGTGCCGCAGTGTTTCGACTACGTTGGAATGACTACAGTTCGAACTCTGTTCGAAGATGTCCTTAAGATCCCCCATCCTGGACCAACCGCTACATGCAATGCTTTAGGCCAAAGCAAGCCACTGACTAGAGCTGTTCTAGCCCAAACTCCAGGAGTCTATCTACCCAAAGGCGAAGTGTTAACCCTTCCTCAAGAATTGTCCAACGGATTCAAACATCAGCCAATGCCGAAGGTCTCAATTCCTCTTCCTGTTGTCATCAAACCAGCAGAGGAGGATAATAGTCGAGGCGTTTCCTTATGTAAAGAAGCGAGCGATCTCGAGCCAGCGCTTCGCAAGGCATTTTCGTACGGTCGATTTGTGGTCGTAGAGGAATTTATTCCAGGACGTGAAGTCAGAGCCGGCTGCGTGAACGCAAAATTCTGTTCACAAAATGCTACTTCCTCGGATCCCACTGACGATTTGCATGTTTTTGGCGCCAAAATCAATTACGTCATGGCTAATAAGAATTATCCAATCAGAACCTTGGAAGATAAACTCGTCGAGTCAGAGAAGAAAAGCGAGGGAAGCACTGCAATTCAACTATCGAACAACGAGCGATACTACACTAACTCCGGTGACCCTAGAGGGATGTCTTCGGAAGTCCTTGCTAAAGTGGACCACTCCATACGGTGTGCACATCGCGCTATGGGATACCGGGATTACTCGATGTTCGATTTCCGAGTTCATGACGACTCAGGAATTCCCTACTTAATCGAAGCGTGTCCCTTCTGGAGTTTCACCCCGGTCTCTGTGCTGTCGGCTCTTACACGGAACAGTCGAGAGTTCAGCAAGCAAGAGGAAAACGAAAAAGAGTCAGCGTGGAAAGCGATTGCTAGAAGAATGTGGCTGAACGCAGCTGCTATTGACAGAGACACACGCTAAATTATCTTGAACTCAATTTGGTTTTAAAATTTGAATGTTTTATTTTTTTATTTTTTTAGTCAACCAGCCCGGAGGCTTAAGCCGAAGGTTAATTAATTATGTTGACAAGAGCGCATTCAGCGCCCTTGACTTACTTGCAAGAGCATACCTTGCAAATTGCATCGCACGTACGATTTGAACCAGCACTCATTTGATTGCTGGACACCATCACTACCGGAGCGCCACAATGCCACAATGTGTACAGCAAATGAAAGGTAACTAAAATTAACCAATTTAAAAAATATTTCTTTGCTTTTAAACGCCCTAATTGAGCTGTGTAAAACAATAAAAACAATAATTTCACATACGGAACAAAAACTGAAAAACCCAATCACATTTTTACAGCCTGAGGAATATGACCATGGTCAGTACAAAATGGCTACCTATCACGGATACAAACAATCAATCACTTTGGTTTTTAGGAGGAGTAGAGTAACAAGCAAATTCAAACACAGACAAACACACACACGAGAGATTTATCAAACACAGATGGATTTTACTACTCTAAATTTTTGCGACCAAATTGTGACCGAAAATGTCCCACCCAACTCGCTCTAAATTAGTCTGAAAAGCAAGATGATTCTGACGCTTTTTTCAACATCCATGAAACGTCTTCGAAATTTGAATTGAAGCTCATTTGAAGCTATTAGACTTAAATATAATAAATCACTCGACATCGTATGACATTCATAAGTGGCATGTGGATTCTTAGGAAAAAACTTGAGAAAAAGACATTTAATTTGCATTATTCAAACACAGCGTAAACACATTGCGCTACACGATAGCTAATAAAAAAGGACTGAAAACAAAAGGAAAAAAATACTTGAATCAATAACTTGAAAAGTTGACGAAAATACAGCTAAAAAAACTTCATGGTAGGATGAAATTCATAGACAGCCATAAATTGGAAATCATTCTCCAAGTGGCAGCAAATTTTGGGTCGAAACCTGTTGATCCGAAAACAAAAATTTGTCATAAAATAATTTCTTTAAGTTTTAAAAAGTTTTTATAACACATCTATTCTGAAACACATGCAAATATTTTTGCCCTAGAAATTGCGCAAATTAAGTTGGCTAAGCTAATGTAACATTAAATGAAACAGTTTAAAAAATTTTGTAACGATAAAAAAAATTACCCAATATCAGACTTGTTAAACTTACCAATTACTGAAAACTGTTTCAGTTGGAACAAAACCAATTCTCTAAAACCCTGCTTAAGAGAGCAGGCCAATAAAAATCGTACCAGATGAGAAAAAAATGGGGTTCAAAATCAATTGGCATAAGCTGGGGACGAAAACCACGAACCCGAAAAAAAATCCGATTAAGAGAATAAGAACTCCAACACGTTGACGTTTTCGTCATTTCAAATTAAATTTAGACCAGTTCAAGATGGCTACGAAAAAGTAGCCTTTCAACTTGATCACTGCGCGATAATTGAAAAAAACTTCAACTAGTCTGAACAGTGTCAATGAACTCAAGGAGACCAAAAGAAAACAATCTACGTTTCGGTCAAAAACTTCGCACTTTCGAGCCTCTAAACAAAAATTTCATCATCTCAGAGCTCTTTCAAAATCATGAATATTTTATGATTGGGCTTTTTTGATAAGACTAACCCAATTGGAGAAAACAATCAAACATTTTTTATTCAGCTGAGAATTCCATAAACTTATATCCACATTAAAAACCAAAAATTATTCAAGTTTCTTCGCGTCATTTTAAACTTCGTAATTGGAAAGTGTTGTTTTCTTTCCTACAATGAATAAATTTAAAATGAACAAAAATAAAAAATCAAACCGCGAAAAAAATATATGGCGTGAAAATTCACGAAAGAAAAATTAACAAGACACTACGTACGTTTTTAGAACGTTCAAAGATTAGTTACTTAGTAGATTACTGATTACAGGATTAGTTGAAATAAACACTTAATTGCCTGATAGACTTTGATTCTGTTTCAGTAATTTATCAAATGATTCACTGATTCTGTTAGACAGCGCCAACGTTATTTCTACCACTGCATCTTGATTGTGATAAAAACTTTGACCGGAAAAAATCTAGTCACCGATTATCAGACCATTGCTCTCCCAAATGTAAACAGCTAACAGACATTTGGAAAATGGTCAATGAACAAAAAACAGAAAAAAAAACTTAGAAAAATTTAAATTTCAAGTTATAAATGTACGGCTTTGAAGCTCTTTGAAACTTAAGAACTTAGTATGATTGGCCCTTTTTCCCATAAAGTTATTTCAATTAGTTAATAGGTAAGTTTTTATTCCGCTGTGAAATCTGAAAAATTACGTGATCGAAATTAGAAGTCGATCACGTTTCTCGTGACCTTTGAACTTTTTCTGTACAATTACTGAACTAAAGGAATTTGAACTGAACTTAAAAGGAATTTGAACTGAACTTAAAATGAAATCATAAGTCAACCGCGAAAAATCAAATTTGATCATGCACAAACTTCAAGACTTTTCCTGAAAAAAACCTCCCTCAAATTTGACAACGGAGCAGAAATGTATTCCCCGAGTACCAATCGCATTACTGTGTGACGCGTATGCAAAGATTGTGTGAAGTGTATCCGAACATCCATAGTAAGGGTAACAATATGGATACCACACGAACAAAAAAAATACGGTTCACTCGTGCCTAGTACGTAACTTTATTGGCTCTTATAAAAAATTGTCTAATCACGTATCACTCAATATCACAAACGAAAACAATCATAGCTATGAAACATATATTACAAATTAATAAATTTAAATATTGAAGCGGAACAAAAATCTATGGAATTAAGAAAGCTACACATTTAGGAGCTACTTTAAATGAGAGCGATAAATAGTATCAACATTATCAACTATGCAAGCAAACATTCGAGGGCAGTCATCTCATGTATTATATTCAGTAGACAATATAGACGGAATAGTGCAAGCCAACTTTAACAAGAGCATCCTCATTGAACCATCACTTTCCTTCTAATTATGTTTGCAAGAAAAAATGGTGCATGCAGAATTCTTTTATTTAGTCAGCGGCACTGAAACGGCCAGCGCTGAAAATATGAGTAAATTTGAGATTCCTACGAGAAGGCATACTCAAAGTTCATCCATATCTCGAGCTATTTTTCGCCGTTTGTTCATACTGCCAAACTCGAACAAAGCAATCAAAAGCCAAAACCTGGGTTTCAAGGGCTTTTTAAATGACCGATTCGACATCGAAATAAAATTTAGTATCAGTAATGCTTCAGGAAAGGATGGTCACTGCAGAGATGTTTATTCGTCTCTTTCCCATTATAGACACCAAGCCTTGAAACGAGCAAAAATAAGAACCACCCACAACACTTTTTTTATTGGGGTGAGGGTGAGGGGGTTATAATTAGCTGAGGGGCTATAATAGGAAAGATTTGCTAATTTTCAAAATTAAGAAGCCAAAATTAGTCCTTTAGCTTCAAGACCACAATGAGGATTATGAAGAATGCGATGGCCCCAAGGACACCAAAGATGATGAGTTTGGTTCGGGTGCCTCTCTTCTGGTGTTTGACTGCAGTGCCCAAGTGCTGCGTGCCAGAGCGAGCACTCGACTCCGCCTTGTCGATTTGTGTCTCAATGTTATCTAAACGACACATCGGCTCTTTTTCCTCCCATACCCACCCCCCCCATCCACCCAAAGTACAGCAGCATACCTCGTGTTCATCAGCAAAACTGACCAAAATTTACCCAAACCTCAATTTTCATATTTTTATCGACATACTCGGCAGAAAAGACCTGTTATGACATGTTGTAGTGACCTACGATGTCATTATTCTGGACGAGTTAGAGAGAAGATAGCTGAACTTATTAGTTTCTCTGACCAATTTTCATGATTGACCATTGGACATGTACTACCTGTAACATCTAAGCGAATTATAGAGAAAACACCTAATTAACCTATGACGTCCTTATCTTGGGCGAAGTATAGAGAACACAGCTACTTAAGCTATGACGTCATTATTTTGGGCAAACTATAGACAATATACCTGTGATAACTTAGAACATTGACTGACCTATTACATCTCCCTGGTCGTGTATGAGTTGGGCCATGTCCTTGAATATCTCGTTCACCTGTGTCACGCCCTGTTCCAACTCCTGCATCGCACTGTCCCTCTCTCTGATCTGCTCCAACGTCTGCTCATACTCCACCTGTTGCTGCTGCAGCTGCACCTAAACACGCCCCCATAACACATCACTACTCCAGAAAAATGAGCATTCAAGTCTAACAGGTTCAATGGTTAAATTCATAAATTTTTTAAACAATTCATTCCGTTTTCGCTGAAACGTCTACAAACATTTTTCCTCCTGTTTTTGCTTATCTCTGATTACTCCAGTTGAGTTTAACGATCGTTTTAACAACAATTCGGTCTATATTACTCAAGTACATAAGTTTCGAAAAGTAGAAGGACCTCAACGGGATTCGAATATCATTCCTCGGGCATCCAAGTACTAAAGTCGACTGCCCTACGCAACTGTGCCACTGACGCTTATATGAACCAAACACTGATAAATTGGAGAATACTGCTATTAAACTGACTTAATTTTATGAAACTACGCTCGCTAGCTTAATTGAGTAATTAAAAAGAAAGTTCACCAACCTTTTTTTCTTTTTTAAGAGCATAACTTATCATCTATTTGACAGTTGTATTTGAGGGGATTGTAACTTTGGCATGTAGATGAACGCATTACCCAAATTAAAAATCTGGAAAAATAGTGAAGCCTAAAATTTTGAAACCACAACGTCCTGAATTATAAGCACAGGCGAAGCTAAGCTTCGCAAACACTAGCGAAAAAATACGAAAAAACAGCTCAAAAAAGTGAAATAAAAAAAACAAGCCTTCAATTAGTAACACTTCAGCTATGTCGGATTCCAACCTGCAACCTCGATTTATGGAATCTCATGTCCTTCCTTCTCAGCCACGGACTCTTAACAATCGACAAGCACTAGATACAAATAAATCAGAGACCAGATGCTATGAAATTTCCAAAGCTACAAATCGTGATTATAGCAAAATGCCACCAAAACAGAACTTTTATTTCCGAGTTAGGTTGGAAAAAAGTAAAATCAAACTAATATTCTATGCTCGTTAGTGTAAACATAGCCTCTAGAACGTTGGAAAAATGTCGTGAACGCAACAAAACAAAACTAATACTGACTTGTTTTTTGAAAATTTCATTTTTCGAATTGAGAAAAAGTATATGTCCTTAGAGCTTTTTGAATTTCAAGAACAATTTGATTGAAATTTTTTGAACGCAGCCAACTGACCGTTGGAAACAAGCAATGAACGCAAGGTAACAGAAAAAAACGCACTGTTTTTTGAAAAAAAAATCATATTTCGAATTTTAAATGAAAAGTATATGCCCTTAGAGCTTTTTGAATATTAAGAACACTGGATAAATAAGGAAACCGAATAAAAAAAAATCACTTTCGAAACTAAACATCGATCATGTTTTTCGTTACCTTTAGACGTTTGCTGTTCGATAGTGGAGTTCGCCTTCATTTTAACAAATAAAATGAACTTAAAAAAGAACCGCGAAAAAAAATTGAGCGTAAACAAAGTCCAAGACTTTTTCCTGGAAAAATAACAAACATACAAAATCAGCAAGGCTTATATAAGAATACTCACTACGTTAATGACTCTTACAATTAAGAATAATAAATACTTTCCCGTATAACGATACAAAGTAAGTTGATTAAGCTGATAAAACATACGCCGAAGCAGTTATAACCGGAAAAAAAATCAACTAGACGCGAATTTTTAAAATGACAAGCGATCAGGTCGACTGTTAAATATAAATGTTTATATCAATAGAAAAATCTATGCTTTGAAATTTAAATTAGACTCAACAAATAAGCAGACACGAAAATCCGTGAAATCAAATTTTCCAGGAAAACTTTTTGAATTTCATTCATTCTGAAAAATACATACTTCTAGACCAAGTGGAAAGGAGCCTGGAAGTTGTTACGGTTCACTGATAAAGCAAGTTCAGTTCTTTACAGATTTTTAAGGGAGGTTTAAGGGAGAACAGTCTAGATCCCGATAATAATACAATTGCTCTCACAAGTGTAAATACGCGAATTCTTTATGCTTGATAAGTTATATCGCACTCATTCTCGCATTCAATCGAGGCATACTAAATGGTCATATTAATTCCACTTCAGTTTTATATTAGTGTTATTGTTCCGACTTTTGTAACGAAAGTAACGGAATATTTGTGCTCGGGGTGGGTTTTTTTTCTTCAGTCAAATTTCGACTTTAAAGCTAGCCATTTTTGACAGAAATTTGTCGTATAATTCAAAACGTATTGTTGTCCTGAGCTTAAACTCCAAAAGTATTTCACCTGTGATCTTTTTCGTAAAGTTTTGGGGGTTTAAAGATTACCATTTTGCCAATTTGGGGCAACTAACGCGCGAAATATTTCGCGCTATTAACGCGTAAGCGGAGATTTAATCCGTCTTAGAAATTGTTCCAAATTGGTTGAAAGAAGCTATTCGCCATAATTGATTTGTTACAAGGAGCAAAATGTATCCTTTTGTACTTTATATGGCATGTGAAGAGATGAGTTTTAAAAAAATCTCAAACTTTTAGAACACAAGTTTTTCATTTTATTTTATTAAATTTAATTCTTTTAATGTTATTACTGCTTCATAAACCTTTAAAGGTAGTCAGAACATTCATGGCTTCGCCCTGATACGAGCAGTCTTGTTGGCACTTTATATTTGATATTGGTAGTCCATTATTTATACTAATTCAGAACTTTATTGAACAAAAACTATTCGAGACCAGTTAAGGGGCAGTCGGAACACTCACAGCTTTGCTCAGTAATACGCGTGAACTTTCATACAAAACCAAAACTTTGACACCATTAGTTAAATTTCTTTTGTGGCAGTCACAACTAAGCGGGTGAAGAATTCGATTTACCACTAAGATAACATAATTTGATTCACTCTTAACGCAAAGAAAAAGTTTTCTCGAAACCATCTATAATTTATGCTAATTTACACAGCCCCAAATTGAAAGCAAACTTACAACGAAATCAGAAATCAAGCTTCCCAAGTATATAATTGTGTAAGAACCAAATTAAATAAATACTTTTTCCTGAAAAAACCTAAATAGGTGAAATTATACTTCGTTATTCCTTCTTAATTACGCTGTTTTCGCACTAACTACAAACAACACATGCATTTTTTGTATCAGAAGTTTTAAGGGAATAGATATGATGGTGGGTCCCCCACAAATTTAGGTAACTGAAATAAAACCGAAATAGAATTAATATTTGTTTGCTTGCTTCGTGTTGTTTATCTCGGAAATTTCTGCACCCATCACGCACACTTGCTTTTTCTAGAGACCCAACTATCGATGACGTCGAATATTTAGATACATTTTTGGGCCTACTTATGGGGGACTGTCTCATATGTTAAATGATAAGAGTTGACCTAGCAGAGTTCAAGAAAGAATCAGTAGCTGAATTAATCTCATTTGAAAGTTTCTCTATTTTGCTTTGAGATTATAGCTAGATTTATTTATCTTGGTTAAACCTTACCAAAACTCTGATGGAAATTTAGCAGTCTGCCAAAAACAACTGATATGACCAAAACTCATGGATCAGTTCAACTGACCGATCGTTTGCTCTACAATTGGACGAACCAAATAGCTATTAATTACACGAGTTTTCATCATCAAATCAAATGAATGAAGTCTTTGACCCAATCAATTGCACCCGATAGATCAAAATCACTTAGTTTTGTTGATTAAAACAAATGAACTCAAAACAAAAAAGATCAAATTTTTGTTAAATCCTCTCTAAACGCTGCAAAGCGTTTCTGAAATCGAAAATTTCAGCACGGCTTTTGAAATGATATCACCTCTCTTTCAAGTAAGCTTAAACAATAACAATTTTTCAACCTGATGAAGAGGATCAACCATTGTAGCGCTCTGAGTTTCTGATGATCCGAAAAACGCAGTGGGGTCTCCAGTTCCAACTCCTGGACTACTGTTCACATCCAGCAGATCCGAATTTCTATTCTGCATTGATCCCAACTTCTGCTTCTCGGCCTCGTTTCGCTTCTTCATTTCGCCTGTGATCTGCTTGTCTGTATCCTTCAGTTGGGTGAGGATCTCAAGAAGATTGTCTTGGAGTCTTTGTCGCTCCATTTTCGCTCTCTCTTGACGACCAATCGGGGGTACTGTGTTGCGAAGTCGCTTCATTCGTTCAGCGACATCTTTGACGAGAGTTTCTACTTCTTTGAAACGACGCCTGCACAATAAGACAAAAAAATGTAACAATCGTTATGAGATTTTTTTAAATCTCAATTTAAAAAAATTTGACTATCATTATGAGACTATTTTTCATCTCATTTATACTTTTGCAGCTATGTATAAAAGATGCTTACATGATTGAAGCGGCTGATTCATTGGGACTGTTAGAAGCCGATTGTAGTTGCCGAACTAAAATGGAATAAAGTTTGAAATGAGGATGAGGGCAAAAAAGCTTTTAAAAATTGTAGGTAAATTCCTACTTAGCTGTCCAGCCTTCTGTAGGTCTGCAGCTATAGACTTGGAGAGCTGAGAGTACTCTGAAACATTTCAAGACATGTATCAATAGATGACAGACATCGTGAACTTTGTTTGAAGAATGAAAAACAGGGTCGGGCAGACATTTAAACCAAAAGAAAAAAGCCCAAAAAATTAAATACACGTTGAGTGCGTTTCAACTGTTGAGAAACAAGTTCGTTCTTTCTTTCTACCATTTCCACAACAAAGGGACCATAAAAGGCTCAAAGACTGTTGCCAAATCTGTTCCCTCCTTGCGTCAGAATGTTTGTTTGTAATGCCGCCTAGTTTTTTCTCCAACTCTTACATAATTGTGAACTTAAAATCATATCAACTTTGAAGTATGTGAAATTTTATATTATTCAACAAGTATCTTTGAGAGGAGGCAGTCTGCAAGCTCCCAATTTTTCTGTTGTACCGCCACTTGAATCTTTTATACAAAGTATTCTACGCGAAGACTTACCATCACTCGGCTCCCGGTCTGTATATGCTGATGAATCCATTCTGCAATATTCTGATGATATTCACCGAGTTACCCTTCTAGACTTATAATTAAAACAATCAATATGCAGCTGGTTGCCCGCTTACTTCACGTGGAACCTCAAACTAAGGAAAATGAACGCAGCCTTCTCATAGCTTCACTTCAATATCATAAGCTCCTGAAACACACACAACAACATAATTAGATGAGCGCAAATTCAAAGCAAATATAGTCCGCTGCTGAGCAAGTAGCACAGAATGTTCAGGCCAAAATTATACAAATCAAAAATCAGTAAACTCGAAAAGGATTTTTATAAATAAACAAAACCCGCACCCAGTTTCAAGAATTAATAATCGATTATATTATCATTTTAGTAGCTTGAATTTTTTTTTCAGATTTCGTACGAATAAACTAAGATTGACTTGACTAAGAAATTATTAATTGATCAAAAAGCGCCCATATAGATCTTATAGCAGCCATGTCATTGATGAAATATCGAAAGTAAATGCATGAAAACTCTTCGCGTACGGAAATGTGTACCGAAGACTTCTATTAACGAAGTTACAAATGCCAATACAGAACTCAGTAAAGAGTTTTTCTGCATTTGCTTTCGATACTTCATTAACATGGCTGCTAAACGATCGATTTGGGCGCTTTATGGTCAACTTAACCATTTCTTAGTCAAATTAATCTGAGTTTTTTGTACGGAATCTGAAAATAAAAATTCAAGCTGCTCAGATGATGTATTTAACTCTACAAATGACTGGTAAAATACATTAATAAATTGTGAATTAGTGCGAACAAATGATAAATTATGAATTATGTTCAACTTTCAGTAGCTGATTGTAAAAAATCTGTAATAATCAATTAACAATCGATTATAATCTCTTGTTTTCAATATAAAAATAATTCTCAATTTTTTAACATAATAATCGAATATAATCAATTATAATCGATTACTTTCGAAAAAACTTTCTAAAAACAAAACTTGGGAAATTCGAAATTTTCGATTTTGACATGTCAAAACAAAAAAACTGAAAAAACGCATGAATTTGATAGAAAAAAGCGTGTATTAGCATGAATCATACCAATTAAATATGGCCGTCCCCTGGCCACATATAGTAACCAGATCAATCCGATTATGTTGGGCAGCAGTTGCACCTCTTCGGAAGTAAAATTTTAAATTATCTGGTCGGAACTGGCAGTAATATTGATAAATTGGTTTCTCGAACAAAAAAAGACTTTAAAATGTTTTATTTGATTTCTACGCTGCAAGGAGAGTTGAAAAATGTACTCAATGCACTTCTTGAAAAGTATTTTTAGTTTGAGAAACCATCTGCCATTATTCCTGCCAGTTCCGACCAAGATATTGTGAACATTTTTTTCTCAGACAAGATATGCGTCAGTGAGGCGCATCACACTTGAGGAAAAGCTCGCGAAAAGGTACCACACTTGAGGCACTACTTTTGAGGGGAAACCCGCGAAAAGTGTAGGACCTTATGATTGGTAGGCAGGGATCACAACAATACCTGAGGAAAGATTTATGATTTAGAGAACGGATTCACTTTTTAGCGGATTGGTTCGAACGATCCCACTGGAGGGTGGCGGAGATTAGTTCGACAACTTGATTGGTTCAAAAAATCTGATTTTTTTTTGAAGAAGGTGACTGAAAAGTAGATAGGCCCCATGAATTGGGTTCCAGCCAGATGTTGGTTGCCAGAACTTGGCTGCCAGAAGCTGAAGGTTGTTGTAGATGAAAAAGATTAAGATTTGGGAGCCAGAAGCTGAAGGTTCGTGTAGGAGAAAAAGGTGTCTGAAGAGATGGGTACCAGAAGCTGAAGGTTCGTGTAGGAGAAAAAGGTATATGAAGAGTTGGGCGCCAGAAGCTGAAGGTTCGTGTAGGAGAAAAAGGTGTCTGAAGAGTTGAGTGCCAGAAGCGGAAGGTTCGTGTAGGAGAAAAAGGTGTCTGAAGAGATGGGTGCCAGAAGCTGAAGGTTCGTGTAGGAGAAAAAGGTGTCTGAAGAGTTGGGTGCCAGAAGCGGAAGGTTCGTGTAGGAGAAAAAGGTGTCCGAAGAGATGGGTGCCAGAAGCTGAAGGTTCGTGTAGACTAATTGGTGTTCCCGTATCAGTTATCTATCAGTTAAATATCTCGAAATTTTCTAAAGGTGAAACGCTTATTGAATCAACAACCTTTTTCTGCTTCAGTCTCGGAATCTTCAAAGAAAATTAAGCTAGATGTCTCAAAACACTAAATCAGTTAGCAGGGTTACGGATCCTGTAAATCGCGACGATCGAGAGGCATTAGAATGGGCAAAAGGGAACATCTGTCACATCTTTACTTCGCACTGTTTTATCAAGCTGACCAGAGTACAGGTCCCCTTTTTGTTCTCCCCTAGGAGAAAAAGGTGTTTGAAGAGATGGGTGTCAGAAGCTGAAGGTTCGTGTAGGAGAAAAAGGTATCTGAAGAGATGGGTGCCATAAGCTGAAGGTTCGTGTAGGAGAAAAAGGTTTATGAAGAGTTGGGCGCCAGAAGCTGAAGGTTCGTGTAGGAGAAAAAGGTGTCTGATGAGATGGGTGCCAGAAGCGGAAGGTTCGTGTAGGAGAAAAAGGTATCTGAAGAGATGGGTGCCAGAAGCTGAAGGTTCGTGTAGGAGAAAAAGGTGTCTGAAGAGATGGGTGCCAGAAGCTGAAGGTTCGTGTAGGAGAAAAAGGTATCTGAAGAGATGGGTGCCAGAAGCTGAAGGTTCGCGTAGGAGAAAAAGGTATCTGAAGAGATGGGTGCCATAAGCTGAAGGTTCGTGTAGGAGAAAAAGGTGTCTGAAGAGATGGGCGCCAGAAGCTGAAGGTTCGTGTAGGAGAAAAAGGTATCTGAAGAGTTGGGTGCCAGAAGCGGAAGGTTCGTGTAGGAGAAAAAGGTGTCTGAAGAGATGGGTGCCAGAAGCTGAAGGTTCGTGTAGGAGAAAAAGGTATATGAAGAGTTGAGCGCCAGAAGCGGAAGGTTCGTGTAGGAGAAAAAGGTGTCTGAAGAGATGGGTGCCAGAAGCTGAAGGTTCGTGTAGGAGAAAAAGGTATCTGAAGAGATGGGTGCCATAAGCTGAAGGTTCGTGTAGGAGAAAAAGGTGTCTGAAGAGATGGGCGCCAGAAGCTGAAGGTTCGTGTAGGAGAAAAAGGTATCTGAAGAGTTGGGTGCCAGAAGCGGAAGGTTCGTGTAGGAGAAAAAGGTGTCTGAAGAGATGGGTGCCAGAAGCTGAAGGTTCGTGTAGGAGAAAAAGGTATATGAAGAGTTGAGCGCCAGAAGCGGAAGGTTCGTGTAGGAGAAAAAGGTGTCTGAAGAGATGGGTGCCAGAAGCTGAAGGTTCGTGTAGGAGAAAAAGGTATCTAAAGAGATGGGTGCCATAAGCTGAAGGTTCGTGTAGGAGAAAAAGGTATCCGAAGGGATGGGTGCCAGAAGCTGAAGGTTCGTGTAGGAGAAAAAGGTATCTGAAGAGTTGGGTGCCAGAAGCGGAAGGTTCGTGTAGGAGAAAAAGGTATGAAGAGTTGGGCGCCAGAAGCTGAAGGTTCGTGTAGGAGAAAAAGGTGTCTGAAGAGATGGGTGCCAGAAGCTGAAGGTTCGTGTAGGAGAAAAAGGTATCTGAAGAGATGGGTGCCATAAGCTGAAGGTTCGTGTAGGAGAAAAAGGTATGAAGAGTTGGGCGCCAGAAGCTGAAGGTTCGTGTAGGAGAAAAAGGTATCCGAAGGGATGGGTGCCAGAAGCTGGAGGTTCGTGTAGGAGAAAAAGGTGTCTGAAGAGATGGGTGCCAGAAGCTGGAGGTTCGTGTAGGAGAAAAAGGTGTCTGAAGATATGGGTGCCAGAAGCTGAAGGTTCGTGTAGGAGAAAAAGGTATCTGAAGAGATTGGTGCCAGAAGCTGAAGGTTCGTGTAGGAGAAAAAGGTATCCGAAGAGATGGGTGCCAGAAGCTGGAGGTTCGTGTAGGAGAAAAAGGTGTCTGAAGAGTTGGGTGCCAGAAGCTGAAAGTTCGTGTAGGAGAAAAAGGTATCTGAAGAGATGGGTGCCAGAAGCTGAAGGTTCGTGTAGGAGAAAAGGGTGTCTGAAGAGATTGGTGCCAGAAGCTGAAGGTTCGTTTAGGAGAAAAGGTGTCTGAAGAGATGGGTGCCAGAAGCTGAAGGTTCGTGTAGGAGAAAAAGGTATCTGAAGAGATGGGTGCCATAAGCTGAAGGTTCGTGTAGGAGAAAAAGGTATGAAGAGTTGGGAAAAAGGTACGAAGCTGAAGGTTCGTGTAAGAGAAAAAGGTGTCTGAAGAGTTGGGTGCCAGAAGCGGATAGTTCGTGTAGGAGAAAAAGGTGTCTGAAGAGATGGGTGCCAGAAGCTGAAGGTTCAAAAGGAGAAAAAGGTGTCTGAAGAGATGGGTGCCAGCAGCTGAAGGTTCGTGTAGGAGAAAAAGGTGTCTGAAGAGATGGGTGCCAGAAGCTGAAGGTTCGTGTAGGAGAAAAAGGTATCTGAAGAGATGGGTGCCATAAGCTGAAGGTTCGTGTAGGAGAAAAAGGTGTCTGAAGAGATGGGTGCCAGAAGCTGAAGGTTCGTGTAGGAGAAAAAGGTATATGAAGAGTTGAGCGCCAGAAGCGGAAGGTTCGTGTAGGAGAAAAAGGTGTCTGAAGAGATGGGTGCCAGAAGCTGAAGGTTCGTGTAGGAGAAAAAGGTATCTGAAGAGATGGGTGCCATAAGCTGAAGGTTCGTGTAGGAGAAAAAGGTGTCTGAAGAGATGGGCGCCAGAAGCTGAAGGTTCGTGTAGGAGAAAAAGGTATCTGAAGAGTTGGGTGCCAGAAGCGGAAGGTTCGTGTAGGAGAAAAAGGTGTCTGAAGAGATGGGTGCCAGAAGCTGAAGGTTCGTGTAGGAGAAAAAGGTATATGAAGAGTTGAGCGCCAGAAGCGGAAGGTTCGTGTAGGAGAAAAAGGTGTCTGAAGAGATGGGTGCCAGAAGCTGAAGGTTCGTGTAGGAGAAAAAGGTATCTAAAGAGATGGGTGCCATAAGCTGAAGGTTCGTGTAGGAGAAAAAGGTATCCGAAGGGATGGGTGCCAGAAGCTGAAGGTTCGTGTAGGAGAAAAAGGTATCTGAAGAGTTGGGTGCCAGAAGCGGAAGGTTCGTGTAGGAGAAAAAGGTATGAAGAGTTGGGCGCCAGAAG